CTGTAACAATAGGGTTAAAGTAGTAATAATAAGTGGTACACCACTGTTAGTAGTGATAAAGATTCTTTGCTGTAACAATAAGATTAAGATTGTGATATGCAGTACAATAATATTCGTGTAAACTGTAACAATAGGGTTAAAGTAGTAATAATAAGTGGTACACCACTGTTAGTAGTGATAAAGATTCTTTGCTGTAACAATAAGATTAAGATTGCGATATGCAGTACAATAATATTCGTGTAATTGTTTTTTTACTGTAACAATAAGGTTAACGTTGTGAAAAGCAGTGCAAAAATACTTATTAATATATATATATATATATATTTGCTGTTATAATAACATTGTGGTTTTGGTTAGAAGTATAACAATGTTTAATAGAAGATTCTTTGCTGCAACAATAATATCATGGTTCTCATTGACACTGTAACAATATTTATTTGCTGCAACAATAATATCATGGTTCTCATTGACACTGTAACAATATTTATTTGCTGCAACAATAATATCATGGTTCTCATTGACACTAACAATATTTATTTGCTGCAACAATAATATCATGGTTCTCATTGACACTAACAATATTTATTTGCTGCAACAATAAGAACAAAATTTTAATAAGCAGTACAACAATGTTAATTAGAAAAGATTATTTGCTGTAACAATAAGGGTAATATTTTGATGACCGCAAAAGGTTTATTATAATAAGATCCTTTACTGTAACAACAAGGATAAAACTGTGATTAACGGTTCAACAATGTTTAGTAGAAGATTCTTTGCTGCAACAATAAGATTATGGTTTTGATGAGCAGCATAAGAATGTTTGTCTATTAGGAGATTATTTGCTGTAGCAATAAGGATAAGGTTGTGATGAACAGTACAACAATGGTTATTAGAAACAGACTGCTGCAACAATAGGATTCGGGGTTGTGATAAGCAGCACAATAATGCTCATAACAAGAAAATGTTTGCTGTAACAATAAGGATAAGGTTGTGGTGAACAGTACAACAATGGTTATTAGAAACAGACTGCTGCAACAATAGGATCGGGGTTGTGATAAGCAGCACAATAATGCTCATAACAAGAAAATTGTTTGCTGTAAAAATAAGGATAAGGTTGTGGTGAACAGTACAACAATGGTTATTAGAAACAGACTGCTGAAACAATAGGATTAGGGTTGTGATAAGCAGCACAGTCAGTATTAACATTCATTGTTACAGCAAAAAAATTTTCTGTTATGAGCATTAGGTTGTCATCACAAGTTTTACAACACTGTTTCATCAGTAAAGAGTTCTATGTTGTAATAATAAGAGCTAAGGTAAGATTGAAAGACATATTGTTGATGGTCACTTAAAAGTTCAGCCGTCCACGCCACGGAATTTCGAAATGCAGTTTTGGAAATGAACCATTAAAATGGGCATGTTCTTTTCGAATTTTACTTATGTAAAAATAATTGCATGAAAAATGTGAAGGAAACACACAAAATGAACATAACAATTTAAACCGAGAAGCAAAGCAGAGCATGTGCTAAAATTATAAATCTATAACTGGGTTGAATGTTTAGTTTGTTAATTTTGTAAATAAAAAAAAACACTTTCTAGTTATCGATGTATTTCTAAAACACGTGATTCTGAATGCAGTTAGCGCATTCATGTTGGTAACTTGGTTTGTATATAGCGCGTGCTACATAAATGATAATTCGTTTCTGACACTCGATAGAGTGGTTGAAAGTGAAGAATGTCAAGAATTACGAAGTTATAAGGTTATATAGTTATCAGCACTCAAATGCGCCTTTTTTGTGCAGTTAAAATGAACAACTGTTAGGCATACGAAAGCAATAAAACTACATCATTGAATCATGTCTTCCATGTATGAATTGTAGATAAAATACACAAAACTGTTATACCAAGTGAGTTGGTTAACTTAGTTTGTATTTAAACATTAACAACTCCAGTGTACTAAAATATATGATACAGAACTCTGCAAGTTTGAGAGAAACTTTCATTCAAACAACCTCCATCACGGTATTTGTTTAAAACATCCATTCAGTTGTTTCGAATATCATTTTTAAGTGTTTCTGTCGTCGGCGAATTTCGCGATTATTATTTTTTCTAAACTGCTGCAAACAGTTTAGTTCTTCTGACATTTACAATCGTCTCCTTACGTTACGTTTTTTTAGCTATCGAACCAGACAAACCATTGTTCTTTCAGTTTATGTGTTACCTAACTGTTGGTTAGTATTGTTTGTACCTTAGTAGCTCAGCAATACGTTGCTGACATCTATCGTTGAAAAATTATTAATAAATATTGTTACAAATTAGTTATTAACATTATCCTATTTCCCATGAAAACATACATTATATCTATGGGTTAAATAATTTCAATTCAAGTAAATAAATTATTCAAATCAAACGGGTACGTATAATACCAGGAACTCTGCTAATAAAAGTTTATGCTTGTTTTAATGTTCTCGAAAAAACTATGTTTAATTCAGTTCAACTTGATTAACATACTAGATAATACAGTATGTTCTAAATAAGTAAACTTTTTAAATACAGTCAATTTAGTATGTGGAAAGGAAAGACAAAAAACGAAAAAAGAAAGGATGTTTGTACAAAGCATATAATTAAAGAAAGAAAATCAACATACATAAAATAAATACAAAAAAGTTATAACACGTAATATATTTAACAACAATAGCTGACATTTGTAAACACACAAACAAACACATCATTTAAAACATTAATATTAAAATCTTCTACTATATTAAATGATGCTTCTTTCCTATTTAGCATAACTAATGTATTTTCTAAACTTTCCATAATCTTCTTTATAACAGTGTTTCTCAGCTGGATTTCCCAGACGACCCCCATTATCTCTACAAGGATGAAAAAAAACAGTTCGGCAAACTTCATTACAAAGGTGATATATGCACCTCTCGGATACCTCGAGGCCTCAAAAACAACAAAATGTTGACTCAGTGTAGACTGCTCGCGACCCACCGTTTGATAAACAATGCTTTATAGAGACAGGCTAGATAATTATTACTAATTTTTAGTGCTATAAATTCTATGTTAGCATTCAAAATCAATAACTTTTGAAACACATCAAATAATACTTTCACTTTCGTGGCCTTGTGGTTAGGGCGCTCGATTTGTAATCTGTGTGTGTGGGGGGGGGGGGGTGTTCGAGTCTCAGTCCTAGAACACGTTCGCTCTTTCAGCCTTGAGGGCGTTATAATGTGATGGTCAGTCCCACTATTCGATGATAAAAGAATAGCCCAAAAATTGGCGGTGGGTGGTGTTGATTAGTTGCCTTCCCTCTAGTCTGTCACTACTAAATTAAGAAAGGCTAGCGCAGATAGCCCTCGTGTAATTTCGCGCGAAATTCAAACCAAACAACATTTCCTCCTTAATACAGGCTGTAGTGCCTCCACCTTTTCTCTCTAGAGTATTTGAAAAATAAACAGAGTAACCTTGAATATGAAATCATCATTCTTAAGCCTGGTTTCTACGAATACAAGTAAAATAAAATTTCATACATTGTAATTCCTGTAAAATTTCATCCATATTCTGTTTGAGACTTATTGCATTCATACAATAAGTTGACAAATCAGCAGAATCGCCATATTTATTTTCAATTTGATCATTTTCAATATAACTGTTGTAACTATTTAAATTACAGTGGACGACAAAAAATTTGCTACTGGAGAAAACTCAAGTGATTCCGGGTAATTTAATGGTGCTGATTTCAAACATCTGGTCAGAATTACTCCATCACCTCTAGATTTTAAGTTATTATAATATTTCAATATTTTATCAGCACTATGTGAAATACCATGCAATCAACTTAGTACAATAGATTTATGTTGTGAAATTAGGTTTACTTGGACAGTTGAATGGGTAAAAGGCACACATTTTTGATAACTTCAAACATTGACTGTATTGTATTTGTGTGAACTTTCAAAAAGATTGTTCACGTATGCTGTTTGTTTTCGATATAATTGTAGCGAATTGCACCACTTTTCCTTCATTCACACCCTCATCTGCTCCGCTCGGGAATCGCGAAATCCTCAAGTGCTCAGTTTGCTAGACATGGCCAGGTGGCTAAGGCACTCCACTCGCAATCTGAGGGTCGTGGCTTCGAATCCCCGTCACACCAAACATGCTCGCCCTTTCAGCCGTAGGGGGCGTTAAAATGTGACAGTCAATCCCACTATTCGTTGGTAAAAGAGTAGCCCAAGAGTTGGCGGTGGGTGGTGATGACTAGCTGCCTTCCCTCTAGTCTTACACTGCTAAATTAGGGACGGCTAGCGCAGATAGCCCTCGTGTAGTTTTGCGCGAAGTTCAAAACAAACAAACAAAACTTTTAATGTTTTTTAGAAACAAAATAAAAAAGTTCAAGATAAGTTTACCTATTGATAAAGCTGGATGTAATTTTGGCTTTATATGTAGAAAATTATATGCCTAAATTTTAATTAATGAAATCAATACCTCAAGTACTTTTACAAAAACTGCTTTAAAGAAAGATACTGTTATTACCAATATAAAGAAAGCATTTAAAAATGGAATGTATACATAAACTGCTATAATTTACCATTTGTGTATGCTATTCATAAACTGCATAAGAATCCTGGAAAATTTGGATTTATTACCAATTCTTTAACCCCCAGTGGTACAGCGGTATGTCTGCGCACTTAAAACGGCAGAATCCGGGTTTCGATACCTGTGGTGGGCAGAGCACAGATAGCCCATTGTGTAGCTTTGTGCTTAATTATAAATAAACAAACCAATTCCTTAAATACTGTTATCAAATCCGTTTCCATTGTACTTAACAAAATTTTAGATATTTTGTTTAAAGATATAAAAACAGTGTTATCCAAAAATTCAGAAAATTTTTACCATACAAATAATATTCCAATTATAGAATGTCTAAATAATCTAGATTATTTAAAAACAGCCAATTCAGTCGCGACTTACGATTTGACTACATTATATACTACAATATATTTAAAAGATCTTGTTAGAGTATTTAATAACCTGTTTGATAACTTTATGGATGCAGAGATAGGTTTACAAAATATAACTTCACTAAGATCCAATGCAAAAAACATACTGTACTTCTGTATTTATAATAGTTATATAACTTTTAATCAACATTTCTATAAAAAAAAACGGTGGGTATTCCAATGGGTGCTAATTTCTCTTCAATTTGTATCTGTTCTTCTACCAATATTTAGTTTCAAAAAAAGTTTAAATCCCAATTCATTTAACTATACATTCCGATATAGTGATGATTTAATTTCAATAAATAATTTAAACATCGCCCCAAATATAATATATCCTCAGGAATTTGACTATAGAAAAAGTAATAGCAATGATTCTTACGCTAATTATCTAGACATAGACGTTTATTTTGTAGAAGGCTTTGTTTGTTTGAATTTATGCAGAAAGCTACACAATGGGCTATCTGTGTTCTGCCCACCACGGGTATCGAAACCCGGTTTTTAGGGTTGTAAATCCGCAGACATACCGCTGTGCTACTGGGGGGCATTGTAGAAGGCAGAGTTCAGTTGACCATTTTTGATAAAATAAGGTAATTTAATTTTCCCATCCTTGGTTTACCTACTTCCCACAGCGTTATTCCTAATGTTTTGTTAAAAGCGATAACTATATCTCAACTGAAAATATTTGTAACGGTATGCAAAAGTAATAACTCTTTTATGGATAATATTTCCTTATTTATAAATAAACTAAAAAATAAGAGATATACAACTACTGTTTTTTTACTATACTTAATAATAAATAGAAACTTATATTAAATAATAAACTTTCAATTATGGAAAACTTCTTACTTAGAGGTCGTTAGTTTATCAAAGGTGACCTTGAGTAACTAACTTGGTTATCAAACCAGTTTTTTTTTATTCAGTATGCCGGGCTGGAAAGACCAACTTCAGGAAGCAGGGTCTGCCTCAGCTTTCGCGTGTCATACTTGAATAAGTTTTAGACAATTTATTAGTAAGTTACTTAATTTTTTTATTATTTTGTTTTTAAGACCTTTATAAGGTTTGTGGTTGGGAGTTCTATACTGTAAAAAATTTGGGTGGTTCTGTTTCTACTTTTAAAACAATAACTGCCTTTCCACACCTGGCTACAAACAGCGAAAGGCGGTAGGAGGTGAGACGTTGTAGGTTTAAGCAATCACCTCTTCACCTTTGTTATGATTTTCCATGATGGTCAACTTGTTTAACTTCGGCGTTTTGGATTTTGATTGACAGATGGGATATCTATGGATGACTGACCGGAAGCCAAAGTAGATGCACCAAATGATTATAAATTCTTTATTGTTTGACAGTACTGATCTAAATCGCCTATTGGCAATAATTGTAATTGATAATCATTGATATATATAAACTAAACAAATACAAACCAAAACATGTGTGTGTGTGTGTAGATATATATACAAACACGTTTTGGTTTGCATTTGTTTAGTTTTTGTTAACAGAAAGCGAAGCCTAACTTTATACAAATATTTTTGTTAAAGAGCGTAATTATGGAAGGAGATTGGTTACTATACCGGTAGATGTCACTGAATATCACATTTCGCTCTTTCCTATTTCGCCGATAATTGATCGGGATAACCGGTTTATGTACTGTACTAAAAATACACTTTAATTAGCAAGAACGGTTAATAAAGGTTAATAGCCTTGGGAATATTAATCAAGGGCCTATGATAGTTATTTGTTTTACTCACCGTATTGAGTTACCAAAAGTATATAAAACAATAGCTGTATGTAACTTTTCTTTTATTCGTGTGCATCATATGCGAACTTAGTTTATACTTGCAAAGATTGTTTAAGAAGTTGTCGTGTTTTGTTTTTGTCTTTTTCTAGTTCAAATACATTTTTTTAATGAAATTAACTTTCCTTTTCTTTATTGGTTAATTATTTTTCGGCTTACGTTATTTTGGACTGCAGCCCAACCATCCGTCATGTAAATAAACCTTAAGGTTGGGGAGGTGGTTCATTGCCGTCACGAGTCTGGGCCAAATTTAGATGGTTTTTTTTCAAACTGAGTTTGTTGCCACGTTATCATTTCGATTGTAATTCGGAAGAGAGAATAAAACTAATTTTCAATAACGAAATTTAAGGCTTAGTAAAACCTACTCACGTAATTGTTTACAAACGTATTCAGTGACACTCGAGTGTGTATTATAATTATTTTAGTTATTAACACAAATACTAACAAAACTCGTTCATAACTGTGATCCTTACAAATTAAGAATAACTTATGGCAACTAATATGCACGTGAATTTAAAGCCTGCTGTTGGTACATAAAGAAAAAAAAAACATTTCGCAAGCATTAAAGATGAAAGTCACCGAGCCAAGATTTTTCGTTTTAATTTATCTAATTTGAATAACAAGTGAAAGACAAAGTTACATACATATTTGAAAGGATTCTAGTCTTCCACCAATATTACATTATCTAACTTCAGCTACAAATTATTCCCGTTTCAAAACGCACTGATCTTACAAACGATCCCAATAGTTTCATTCATTAGTTATTTTTAGATTCTTTGACATAATTAGTAAGCATTCTCGCAGTTTCTTGCGAGTAAATGAATTGTCTGTGCTGTCTTTAACTCCGAAGCCTGACTTTGTATTATGTAAAAGTGTATAACGTTAATGTAAAGAGGTATGCCGCTAGCACTGTAGTGTATATTGAATTAGTTAATTAACGTTATGTCTTCTTTAGTCTGAGATGTAAGAAGTAACAAACAACTTTTTAATGTCTTTTTAGGTCAAAACAAGGAAATCGCCAGATGTTAGGTGTAAAAACCGTAAGTCTTAAAGCTCACTAATATCTGTTTGGATATTGAAGATTTAACAACTAGAAAGTTTTCTCTTGTGCACGTTTAATCAGTTTAGAGGTGAAAAGTAACAACTGTAAAGCTGCGAAACCGGTATTGTAAAAGTGTAATATAGAATTATAAGATCAAAGAGGTTAAGTACAAAAATGGAGTACAAGACTATTACATTTCTGTTTGTCCGTTAATTAACATAACCAAAACATCAACAAGGTTCACCTGTGGATACGAATAACAAATCAATGGAATAACAGACTGTTCTGTTTTTTATTACTTTCTTCTACCGGTTTCGTGGCTTCAAAGGTCATTCTTCAAGATGTAATTTTACTGAGAATTTTTTCTTTTCTGTAAGGCTTAGAGGAATTGTGAAACCGTGAAAAGAGTTACTAAGACTTACAGAAAAGAAAAAAAAATCAGTAAAATCATATCCTGAAATAAAAAAAATATTACGTAGATATTTAAGAGTACATGTAAAATGTACGTAGGTTTTTAACACACGAGTACGTAGGTATTTAGGGTGAATTTTCAATGGATGCGTATTATATACATGCCAAGTATTATTATGATATTTCAATGTGTTTACAGGTAAACTCCTCTAGTACAGAATTGTATTACACAGCAAGATTTAGAAGGCTCTCCGAAAGAAAAACTGGTTGGGTGGAAGTGGGGGTGCAAGTACAAATTTAGCGACTAAATTAATTTGATTGGTCAAAGATAAAAGAAAAAAAAATATGTAGACTAGAGCCAAAAAATGACCAGCGAATAATTATATATGTATGTTACAATTAGAAACGTCAGACACAACATGTATGCAGACTATTTACAAATCTCTGTGTGTGTGTGTGTGTTTACAATGTATGGTTTTTACCTGTAGTAGAGTTGAATATAATATTGAACCATCATAACTCATCACGTTGCGTAGCATTTCCTGACTGTACTACACTTGTCTGTAAATTATTAAGGGAAGCCACTCCCTCTCCCGGTCGGAATTTCCCTATAACTTCTTCGAAGATTGTAGGCCTTTTTATAAAGGGTGTAATACTTCAACTAATAACTTCATTACCTAGGTCAGTTATTAAATTTTCAGATTATTGCAGGCCATGTATAACCTCATCTATAAATTTAAACTTTTTATTTTGAACATTTCTATGAAACAAGTTGTTTGTAAAAAAAAAAAAAAAACTCCGTAGGGAGAAGGATGAGATAACTGCGTACGTAATAATGTATGCTATATTATAACGAAGTTA